CATGTAATATATGAAAAATAACAATTCTACATCAAACAATTTTTATGATACTAAAATGTTGGGCTAAAAATTATCTTGAAAATGCTGACCATGGAAAATCCTGTTCACTGTAGTGTGCCAAGGTGGTTAGTTTGACACCTTTTCAGGTGGGTGGTGTAGTTCCTCACAGGGACTTTTAAGGTCATGGCTTTCCCTGGTGAAGCAATTGTTCTGTTGATGACCCTTATCGCTCTTCAGCTTGAGATTTGTAAATCATAGAACACCCAGTGTGTTTGAATTCTTCCAGTTTTGCTTAGTACAGGAATGCAAAGAAGGTCCCAATGGAAATTATTATTCACACTTTAATAGATGCTATGGACATATTCAGAACATAAATAGAAGTTATTGAAGCCCCTGTGATATTCTGACTCTGGTGCAGTGGTTAAATAATTCACCGTCAGATTAAAGAGCTGATTTGATGAACTTGAGGAACTATAGGGAATTGGCTGAGACATTGCCAGTGTAATTTGACATGTATAGTAGGATTAATTATAAGTTCCAATCAAGCTCTCTTTGGAGACAAGGCAAGTTTCAAATGATCCCTAAATGAGGCCTGAGATTTGGGTTGAGATTTCCAGTGCTACTTGAAGTATTTGCGAATTCAAATCCCACTGAGATGAACAGAAGCTGGGCATCGAACACTGCAGGTGGCTTGCAAATCAGTCTTGAATTTTAACAGTGATCTTTCAGTCCTACTGAAACTTATAATATGAAGTATAAAGGAAATAAACAGGGGCTCTGACCCAAGTCTGGCATCTTTGTTAAGACAAGCTATGCCAAAACACATGTGCAGAACTGCAGGCACATCCACGTACTCTGCCTAATGGGTCAGCCTGTTTGTCTTCCAGTGATGTACTGTCTTTATTACAAAGTTACTGCTTGGGCAAGGAGCTTAAATATATTAATAATCAGTGCCTTAGGCCAGGTATCAGCTGGCTTTTATTATGGCAGTCTGTGTGGTCCCACATTCGACTCCATGGGTATGGAAGTAGAGAAACTCCTGTCACCTTCATTTATTTCTCCTATCAGATAGCTGAACAAACATCTTCCAGATCTGCGCTCCATTGCTTTTGCTAAGCAGTTCCCTTCTGCTTTATTTCAACAAATAAGAAAGAGATTTCTGGCCAGAAATGGTTAACTATTTGCATACAGACAATCCTGTTGTTAGCATCAAAGCAATTGGAATCATTCTGTCTTTATTTTCTTTTTTTTTTAAATCCCCACAAGCAACTTTGTACTGTGTGGTTTTAGTGCCTGTTAGCACTGGAGTGGATTACAAGAATTACATCAATTATTACTACATATATAACGATGAATTTATATCCTGAATGAAGCAGACAATGTCTTCTCTTAAAATAATATTTTCTTAGGAAAAATAGAAAACAAAATTAGAGGTAAAGTTTAGTTTTTAAATTCATGCAGAACAGCAGAAACTGCTGACATTTTTGACTGCATTGCTCAAGAACCAATTTTGTGATGTGGGGTAAACAGGGGATATTAAAACATTTAACATGATAACTTAGTAGTAGTTTAACATGATAAAAGTTTAGTACTCGTAAAGTAAGAGCATTTTTTAGCAAGACTATTTTCCCCTAATTATTTTTACTCATAGAGTTGCATGAGAATTTAATTTTTCCTTAAGAAGAGAGTCTAGTTCTCCAAGTAAACTAAATTAATCTCAAAAATGCACGTGGAAGGTGCCTAGTTACCAAGCTACCAAATTCCAGACTTCAAAATGATGACTTTAGTTTTCTGAACTGGGGGGGGAGGAAAAAGAAATTAACATCCTGAGGAATGTTTTTATATTTCCTGTAGTGTTAGGGGCTAGCCAGTATAGTAGTTTCCTTTTCAATGAACACGGTAAGTTCTGGCTTAATTTAAGTTTCTTCTTTAATTGTCTATTTCTTCAAATGACTCCATGCATCCACTCCAGTTTTGCATGGCAGTGCCAGAAGGTGCCAGGGAACTCAGCACCAAATGTGTCCCTAAACTGTCCTGCTCACTCTGCTGTTACATTCCCTTTTCAGAGATATTGTATTTGGAGCATTTATTTGCCCTAACTCTTCAGGTTCCGCTTCAGATGCACACACAGAAGTGCTCTTTGGAGGACTGTGGTAAGGTTTGCACATCTATGCAGGTTTAAACACTCCTTGTTACAAATAACCTCAAAGTTCAGTGCTGCAGATGATACACAACTTGTAAGATAATCTAGGCTGTGTATTAAAAGGCATTCGTATCATGTCAGCATATTTCTAGATGATGATAATTTTTAGGTTATTTGAACATGTTTCATGGCTTGAAACTGTCATTTTACTTTGATTACCAGGAGGGAACATTGAAGTAACTGCTGTTGCCACAGGTGTAACTTCTTACTGATCTGGGCAGGTGTTTGGTCATGTGAACTGCACTTTGCTGTTTTCCTGCCCTAAAAATACTGTATTCCAATGCTGGCAATCTAGAGGTCTGCTCCTCCAAGTGCTCACTGTGAAGAAACTGCTCCAAAGAGATCAGTAAGCATTGGGATTGTGTGGGAGCACACAAAATGAAAACCTTTGTGTGCTTTATGAATAGCTCCCATGCTAATGTGGCCCAGGGCATAAGATCCTTGGTGATTTTGTTGTATTATCAGTTTGTTTGCATGTGAAACTCAAAGCAAACTTTGGTGGCTGTGAACACAGAAATAAAACCTTCATAGCAGCATCTTAGTGAAGAATGATAGACATTAACAATTACTTCTAAAAAGGTAATGATCTGCTTTGAGTGGTCAATAGGACCACTAAGGAAGCATCAAGCTTGGGGCCCCTACCACTCAAATTATGATTCACATTCATACTAGTCTGCTTCAGTTTGATTTCTTGCAGTGAGTGAATGAGAAACACAAGTTCTGGATGTTTCAAAGGTTGAGATTCCAACCACAATAAGGATTTACTTTTCTATTGTAGATCCCTCAGTTAATGAAATAAGAGTCCATTTCCACCGAATACCCTCAATTTTTTTTTTAAGAAGGGAATATTACAGTCCCTTTTCCCTTCTCTTCTTCACTCATCTCCCTAGTTCATTAGGAATTTGTATTTATCCAATATTCATAGATATTTAGGACCAAATTGCAGACTCCGGTGGAGATGGATGTAAACTAGTTTCATGAAGAATCAATAAACTCAGTCATACTGATTCATCATCCCCAGCACAAGATTCACTGATATGTCCACAGTGATTTAATTGTGAAAAGTATTATTAATCAATGACTAGTTTAATTTCTTTCTGATAAAGGTTTAATAATTGCATAGTGGCAACAGAGAAGAACTCCAGCAAAGATTATACTGTAGAAAGTGCTGACCACAATCAAAAAAATAGGATAGTCCCTGCCCCAAAAGACTTATAGTCAGTGTAGAAACTGCAGTGCATGGGCAGGAAAGCACAATCCAGTCAGCTCTGAACACAGATATCTTGTGTTACAGCAGAGGGTATGGAGTGACATGGAAGTGATGGATGAAAATGTTACTATTACCTCCTGTCATACACACAAAACCATGTGGGATCAAGCATGAAGAACTTTTCTGGAAACATAGCAAGTGGGTAATGAACGTTTGCATTGCAAAATGGGGGACAGAAAGCTGTTGTTATGACAGAATAAGAGAGGATAAAACTAGAGTAAGACTTGGTCTTGAAGGCCTTGAAATAAAAATAGTTTCTTTCCCAAGTCCTTTCTAATACAAGCTGATCAAAGTTATGTGAGATTAAAAAGAAAATATTATTTGTTTTCTCATTTGGTGATTGCTGTATAACTAATTGCCTGCTTTCTGAGTGTCCTGAAGTTTCTGAGTAGTGAATGTCATAATCCAGTATATTCAGAAGAGGGCAGCATCAACCTAAACAAGTGGGGACACATTTAATTTAAGGATTTCAATCTAAACGGGAGAGGCTCCAAAAAGTGACACAAACACAATTGTTAAGTCTGTTAAAATCAGAATTTAGTTTATATTGTGATATTATGACAAAGCAAATATTACCCAGAATTACAGGAGCATTATAGTGTCTCTGCAATGACATATTTGTTGTCTTCCAATAGTAACACATTCCTCAGAATAATGGTTACTGCACCTTAGTTATGATACCTACAGCCTTCTACTTAAAGGTGTTGTGAAACAAAAATGGAACAAAATGAAAAAAAAGGACACAAATTCTGAGCAGTCTGTGACTGAAATGCTACTGAAGTCACAGGTACAGCTAATGCAAACTAGGTGTATAAATACAGGTGGTAACAGTGGCCCTGAGGATCTCAGTTGATAGGAAAACTCTCAAGGACATCGGTTGGGCTTTGGATCTGGGATTGAGTCAGACACAAGATTTGGACTAAAACAGGCAAATACATGTCACCAAATTACATTATGGTGACAGGCTTAAGGGAATTTGCCTGAAGTTCTGACTGAACAAGGATTGCACTGAGCACAGAGTTATCAGGTTAGCCACTCCTCACCTAGCTGCCCATGACTAGTAATGCTCCATATGTTGAGTTAAATTCTGTTCCAATTGAATGGGCCCATGTGAGTTTTTAGACATTTTACTACATGATTTAACTTTAACAAAATGTCTGCAAATTTGTGCACAAGTCCCACTGATGTCAGTGATGATTATGTGTGTGCTGAAGGGCTTTGCTGAGAGGAGAACTATGAAAGGAGGTCCAAATCCTTAGGTCCTCAGTACAGCAGGACTATCAGCCTGCACAATGACTATAGGTGATTGAGGCAAAACAAGTGTAGGAGCTCTTCTTGTGAGAGTTAACAAACTGTATTCTGAATCAGGGCACCAGGAGATAAAAGTATTCATTGCAAACACTATTGTTCTCCTGCTGATGACATTTTTTAAGTATCTAGGTGATTACAGCTTTTTTTCCCTGGGTGTATTTAGACTTCTTTGGCTGAAGAAGGTGTATCATAATTCCCTCAATTCCTTTCTTACAGGCTAAAAGAACTGGAACATGTGAGCTGTTCTATTTTGTGAATCTCAAGGTGGGTTATTTAACCTTGAATTATGTGTCAAAATCCTGTTTCAGCATAAAGACTACATGTGCATGTGCTTAATGAATTAGGCTCTAAAGATTTGTGAAGAGCCTAAGTTTATATTCTCCATTAAATATGATCTTCACAGGCTAATTAGTTAGAAATTTTACCCTTGCTTATAATATACACCATTTTATGGTCAATAACAGTAAAATCTATGTAAACCATGCTCTCTATTAATAAACATTATGTACTTCTAGCTTTCAAATAAGGAAATTGATGACTTGTTTTTCTCTGGTGACTGGACTGCTGGCAGAGTAAAATCCAAGCAATTAACATTATGGATAGATTGTTTCATGTGAAATATGAAAGCAGTACAGATAATTTTGGCTTCTATCAAAACAAGGATACTAGTACTGTGGAGAAAACTTAAATCAGCAATATCCAAACTGAGAGATTTCGGGGAAGGTCTGAAGACTCTGGAGGTTGATATTGCATAGTATGACTTCCCCCTGTAAGTTACAAGTTTGGTTCCAACCACGCTTAGTACTAGCTAGAACTGGTTGTTAGCTACTTGTTGTTGGATAGCTTCTGTCTGGTTTTTAGCAGTCATGTACATACTCCTAAAACCTCCTTACAAACGGCACTGTTGACCTTTCTAATACAGGCAGTGAGACAGTGATTTGGGATGTGCACCAGCCTCCCCATCCCTGCAGGGGCCTCTCTGGGTTAGCATTTGAAATAAAGTAGTGGAAGGAATGATCTCTGTGGAGCTGTAAGCTTAAGTGATAAGCTGTTGTTCTGCCCACGCACACAGGCATGATCATCCTTCCTATTCCAGTCCAGGAGCTCCCCAGATGATGTGTACTTTGGGGATGTATATAAATCATCGACTCCTTGTAACTTTTCAGCTAGCAGGATTTTCAATCTAAGCCATCAGAAAGTACCTGTGCCCCTTACTTTCCCATAGGGGGCCATTCTGAAAGAAAACAGCCACTTGACCTGGAGTGACAGGTTTGCTGTGTACAGTAACAGACATGTATGTTGTATACAAGGACCTACAAACCCAGGGCAGAGAACATATTAAATAAAGGTCTCCTGTGATAGAGGTGTCTCCTTTAGCCACACTCTAATAAACAGATACTGAAAATATTTTAGTAATTCAGTTAGAAAAATCAATCTAATGATTCAAATGGTTATAAATAAGAATTTAGATTGCCTTTGTACTTTATAAAGGTAGTCATTCAGCTTCAAAAGGAGACTTTGGACTGGATGAAGAATAATTGCTTTTTTGCAAAGATCATGTTGTATTGGCACTGTCTGAAGAAAGCAGAATTTTCAACTGGTTTCATTTTAAAAAGTAAGACTAGCACAGATTACATCTCACTCCTCCGTCCAAAGGTGTTCCCTGGGCACCAAACATCATTCATAAGTATATGAAAACCATGTGACCCAGTATCCAGCTGAAAACTAATCACTTCGACACTTAGAAATGGAACTGTTAGGTATGGGAGACTTTACTCTGTCCTGTATATTTCATTCTTCAATTTTTGTTTCTGTCAAACACAAAGTGCATTTGGAAAGATAGCAGTTCAGGAAATTTTTCCTACCTTTTTCTGTCTTCGAGCAGTTCCTCCGAAATGTGTATGCTGAATTTACTTTATGGGTCACAATTATTGCTGAGTTGGAAATCCTGGAAAGTATGAAGGATGAGTTAAATTTTTCCATGAGTGCTTTTCCCTAAGCAGCTTTGCACTCCCTGGAGTACCTGTGGATAATTTTTTGCATTACTTTTTAACTAGGTTGTACAATGGCCAGACCAAGGCAGAATTGACTCATGTAGAAATAAATATTTCACTTCTCGGTGCTAGGGCAGTGCTTAGTCATGAAACCAGAATCTGATTCGTGTATGATCAGTTCTCAAGCAGGTATCAGTATATCCAGGTGCTGAGAATACGACTGAAAGGGCCCTATGTAATGCATGGATTCTGCAGATGAAGGGAAAGTATTGTGCCCCTTATGTCGTTTCCTTTCCGTATAAGTTTTTCTTCCTCTACTGGAAGGAAATGAACCTCTGATCATTTGCATTTTTAGATGCACTCAGAGAAATGGCATTTTTTTCCCAAACTCTTTTGGCTGTTCCCAGCTCCTTGCTCTCATGGGTAACTAACCTTCTTCAAGTTCTTCCCAGGCCGTAGGACCTAACTACTGAAGTCCTGTTTCACGTGCTACCAGAATTGCCTAGTTTAGAATATCTAGGAACATTACAGAGGCATAAGCAAAACAAAGGTTCTTTCAAAAAACAAACTTGGAATGGGTCATTAACCAAACTGATTCGATGTTCTTCAATCTTAAAGGAAAGCTGCTGCTTCTGAAAACGCGTTTCCAAAAGTAAATCACTTTTTCTCTAGAGAAGCAAAGGGAGGTGTTCAGATCACAGAGTCAAACTTCCGTCTACAGTGGAAGTTCTCTCAGTGTGCTAAATCATAAGGGCTAGGAGCTTGAGTGGATGCTTTTGTTGTTGAACATGAAAGCAAAATCATATTGCTACTTGGATGAGGAATTTCCCTCAGTAGGCAGACACCATCTTGTTTACAAGGAAATCTCGACCATTAGGGTTTGTGCAAACTGCTTATGGCTGGCTTTTAGCAGGGATGACACAAAGAACAAATGAGACATATATTGGATTGAGATAAGCAGCCTCTATTACCACAACTGTATTGCTAACTTATGTTTAATTGCTCAGCATTTGTGAGGTTCCTAGTTTATTGTCTTTCTTGCCACACAATAGGCTGGGCAAGTTAAAAAAGCTCCAAGTTTCAAAGGCTAGAGTTTTGGGTGCCTGCCAGCACTGATCTGTTTAGCAAACAGGCAGCAGGGTGCTTATTAGTAGGTTGTGGTTTGCAAACCATGAAGCCTGTGGGGCCAGATGCACTGATCAAATAGTGAATCTATAGATCAGTAAACCCATTAGATGAAAAAGGGGAGCCCACTGAGTAAAAATATATTTTTCATAGGCTTCAATTAGCCACCATAAATGACTCTTATAACTCTTTCTGTTGACCCAGCAGTCTAAATATTAAACATTAGTATAAGCAACATTTGTTCCAAATTGCTTCTCTTGGAATTTCTCAATGACTTACAATTATATAGTACTTGGTAGTAAAAGAACAAGTGCCAAATTGCTCTTATTATTTCTATTTATTTTTGTGTAAAAAATAGTGCCTACTTGCAACTCAAGGTGCTTATACATAATTCATAAAAGCACAACAAAAATTGGCAGTGAATCAACTACTGCATAAGACCAGGTGATTAGCTGGACTGAGTCAGTGTGGTTCTACGGAAGCCAAGACAAGTCTGTGAGTTCCCTGAAGCCACTGGGGCTAAGAAGATTTCTAGTTGTTAAGAATCCTCCAAAAGGACTCTGCAGATGACATTTCACCCTTTGAATTTTCCATTGGAACAAATAAAACATCAGTCACTGAAACTTCAGCCATGAAGTTTCCAAGAGCAGATTTTTCTATTTTAATTACTTGAACTTCTCTGATGTTTTTCAATTGTTTCAGTCTGTGAATCACTTGTGATTTTCCTGTGATGGCTACTGCTAAAAGTAGTTGATTTTCATGCTGTACCTCACAACTTCAGTCATGTGGCAAGGTTCCCTCTTCCTGACAGTCTACCTGCTGAACCCTGACACTTCCATGACAGCATTCCCAGTCCTGCTCCTTTCTATGTGTTCTCATGAACACAGTTTTATTCTTATAAATGTTTGCAAGATAAAAGTGAAAGGTGCTGTAATGCCAGTAAACCATCACTTTTGTCAGGCAAAAATCTGTGCATTCTCTTTGTAGTGAGGACCCAATTCTGGTTTCAGTTGCTTCCTACAGGAAAGATCAGTAGAAAAAAAGAACTAAAAGAGTAGTCTGAAGGTCAATCCAAGATTGTTTAGATAATAAAGAGGAAAAAGGAATTAATTTCTGCAGCTGAGAATCTTCTGTTGAAAATGGTCAGAGGCACAGAACAAAACCAAAGGACCCTCCAGTACTGTCTTCTTAGCCTCTTTCCACTATGTTGTCAGCATCTCCTCTTTGTTTTCCTTCTGTTGAGTAACTCAGGACTGGTCCAAATTTTGAGGTTAAAAAAAAAAAAACTACCACAGAAGAAAACATGATGATGATATTCTTTCACTGGTTGTCTCAGGCTTTGCATGGTTGACATGAATTAACTTACTTAGGAGGTAGTGGTCATTGGCAAAAAAAGTCTTCCTCATCTGTGCTCTCCATGTGCTGTACCAGTTTGAAAAGGAATTGTTATAAATAACCTTATTGGTAAGACATTTAGTTTAGGTGTTGGCACATGGCCAGAGAAACCCATATTCACATAGTATAAAAAGCAATCAGAACCCATGAATTGACTTTGTAACTTATCAGATTTAATATATTTAAAAGTCTGCAATGACCTTAGTGCCATACAGCTTTATTTTGGGTCTTTCACTGGCAAGATCCTTGAGTACATAACAAGTGTTATGTATTTCAGTGGTTCCACGCAGACATACTGGAGAAAGTGGTGTATTTAAAATTCAGGGTGTCCTTATATTGCTTAGGCTAGTGCAAACTGGGGCTTTGCACTAGTGGAAGTGAGAACATGTTTAGCCCCAATGTCACCAACTCAGCAAAATTAAAAAAAAATAATCAGGTTGGCATTTTCAGAATGTGTGATTTACTCGGTTGTTTCTTACCCTTCAGTTACAAGTCTTCTTTAAGCCATATCATCTAAGGGCTGCATTATCTCTTTTTAGGTGAGAAACCAGAGTCTATTGTTCTGAGACTAAATTAGGACTAGGGGCCAGATTAATAAATAATATGATTCACTTTCCAGAATTCTTAAATGTCACTAGGCAAGCATACATCTGTGAGGCTTATTAGCCTCATTATTCCTGTGCAGAACTGACATCTAAGAGCACAAACAGGAACAAAGACTAGCTGAAAAAGAGACTAATGCTAATGCAG